CCAACTATTGTATATTGTCCGCAAATGTAAAAAAATACTTTTGAATTGTTTTTACAGAAGCCATAGTTAAAGTTAAATGAAACACAATTTTTTATTAGACGTTAGTATTTATTATATCTCTCTCAATAATGGCGCGCTATAAACAATTTTTTTTCAGGCGGTGTAAACGACTATAGTTACTTTTAGACTATCTAAAATAAAGTAAAAGACAATATAATGCTCAGTCAGAGAGTATTAAATAGAAATATATGCTATAAAATGAATTTTGTGAAAAAACAAATAAATTTGCCGATTCAAAGAACTATTTATATATACATATATTAATCTACATACAAAAAAAATGTGACGTGATACGTTAAAACAAAGTTTATATTTGCAAAATATAGACCAACATTTGCATGCTTAAGATAAATTTATACAAAAAACTTTTTTATCGCAGACCTGTGTTATTAAAAGTGACATGGTGGCGCTGTTAACTGGCGTCGTTTGTACGACGCTTCTGTCTTACGAGGTAATTAAAATGAGTACCTATTCTATTTTTATCGATTTTATATCGACGTCGCTACGTCATGACCGACGCTAGCGTCGCGATTCTCGGACTTTCAACGCGCCAAAATCGACGCCACGTATCAGGAGTTCATACGACTTATGTACGTAGATTTTTCGTGTATGTTCACCCCCTAAAAATAGATCATACACACGTCTCCACCCCCTACCGATATCAAATCATCGGCTGTATGGCGCGTGCCGCGAAAGTAGAACAAAAATAGATTAATTTACCAGGGACATGTATCGCAGGAGGCGCTAAACAAGAGTGTATATGTGAACAAATGAACATGCACACGTCTGTCAACACCCATATGTCGATTAGGCGTAACAAAGGGGGACCAGAAAGGCATATACCCAGCAGCTGTAGAAACTGGGGTGACATGCTAAGAGGGTACGAGAACTTTTTAGGGGGGTAGTGTTAAACATTAAAAAAACAGTATTAATAGATCATTGATTGTAACTTGCGCTAAATTATGAGTAAAACGTAAAAAAAATCGTGTAAAAGTAATTTTATCGATAATAATTAATCCTTTATCGAAACTTTGGTATTGGTTTAGAAAATAAACTCTTTTATGTCTTCACTGACTTCCTCAGGCAAGAGTAATTGTTGTTTGTTTGTGAGAAAATAAATTTTGGTTGAAAGAGTTCTTTCTGGTATTCTCACTTTACACGCCAAATTAATTGCGAGCAAACTATTTTATGTAAATGATAACGATTGTTGTTTTAAATATTTAATAGTCAACACTTAACTTAGAATTAAAATAAACTAAAATGAATAAAATTAAATGTAAAAGTATAAAAGTAGGCTCTAATTGAGTATGAATGTGAATTTATTGTTGCTATGTTGATACTGTTATCGATACTGTCTTGATACTGTCTAAAATGTGTATTATTAATTACTTAAATAGTTTCGCCAGTGGGCGTTAACAATAACATTGAGGGTGCAAGGCAACCCTGTCAGTCAGGTCAATACCCCATTTCAGGTACAGACAAAATACGTGAATTTAAATTTGGAAATTACAGTAATATAGCGAACGTGACTTTACAAAGGAAGAAATGTTACAATAAGATAGTAGAATACATTATAAAATTTATATTGTGTGCTCGCGAACATNCGATTAAATTAAAAACCGGTAAAAACGGTAATACTACAGGTCTATATGCTTACATTACCTTACAATGATGAAAACGTAGAAGCTGTATATGCAGATATAGAAAACGATTTAACTTTAGTGAAAGAGCAGAAAAACCTAATACCTGTAGGAGACTTCAATGCAGTAATAGGTGAATTGAAACTTAAAAATGTAGGGATGAGATACAGGGATATAAAGTTTGCATAAGGATACAGATACAGATAGTTATAGAGCTAGAGCAGCAACGTAGAGAAATAAATATTAGAAAAGGAGCCAGACAAGGATGCACACTAAAACCCCTACTTTTTAATCATTAAAGACAGGACCATTTTAGTGATAGATATACAAGGACAAATGAGCAGAGATGTGATTTATTTGAAACACTTGCATTTAAAATACACCTCCAACATACCTCCGATTAAAAATTTTTAACACTTTCAATTGCTATAAGGTGACCTGACCTGCAAATGACCATTTGCATTTGATTTTACATTTGAAATAACAAATAAATAATGTATTTGCATTTTGTATTTAAATACTTTTAAAAAACCATTTTACATATCTCTGGTAAAATTGGTCACTTGAACTTGACCCTTAGATATTATTGACTTTCATAGTTTCCTGGTTTTAAATAAATTTTGTTGTGGGTTTTTTATATCTCGGTTTACGTGAATCCAGTTTTGTATAAGAAAAGTTACTGAATATTAAGTGAATATAGAAAATTAAATAGCTACTACAAAAAAGTATTTATTTGAAAATATAAAATCAAAATCTATTTCGTATTTTACATTTGAAATAACAAATAAATAATGTATTTGCATTTTGTATTTAAATACTTTTAAAAAACCATTTTACATATCTCTGGTAAAATTGGTCACTTGAACTTGACCCTTAGATATTATTGACTTTCATAGTTTCCTGGTTTTAAATAAATTTTGTTGTGGGTTTTTTATATCTCGGTTTACGTGAATCCAGTTTTGTATAAGAAAAGTTACTGAATATTAAGTGAATATAGAAAATTAAATAGCTACTACAAAAAAGTATTTATTTGAAAAAAGTATTTTGAAAATACGTATTTTATATTTAACATTTAAAATACAAAAGTAAAATATATTTGAGAAAACGAGTAAATGCCTGCAAGATTTTCTTAAAAAATATTTTATATCTACTCAAGTAAATGTGGAAAATTAATTAAATAGCTACTACAAAAAAGTATTTATTTGAAAAAAGTATTTTGAAAATACGTATTTTGTATTTAACATTTAAAATACAAAAGGGAAATATATTTTGTATTTTCTGTTATGTTTATCACATAAAAATTCTTGTGTTCTAAAAAGCGTTTTGTAATAATATTTCTTCTAATTTGCCCTATATTTTGACCTTAGGGCATGATCTACAATATTTTATTTACTTGCTTTAAGTCATCTCAAAACTTTTTGTTATCGTACATTAAGTTATTGTTATGTTTCCAAACAATCACGTTAAATTTTTTTATATTACTAGTTTCGTTAAGTCCGTATTCAAGCCGAATCTACGTTGATAACTGTTAGATATTTCCTATTCCTTGTTAGTTCCTGTTCGTTCCCAGTAGTTTTCTAGATTTTAACTTCTGCTCTCCTGGCTCCTGATAGTTGATTATTTTAGTATTATTTGTACAAATAATGCGTTACGACAACCTCTACCCATTGACGCATGTTGCTCTTAATTATATCGTTTCTTCTTTACGACCTTTGGCACGCGTCGAGCAGATGTGTGAAGGTGTTAGTTAATGATTTGAAATCCATGAACATACAAAATAGGGTCGTGGAAAAATTGCACTGCTGTTTCGTTGGTACTGTTTCACTGTTTTTATTCAGCTGTTAAAAAACTAACAAGTTTCGGTTGTTAGTTCATTATCAAAGAGTTAGTTATAAAATTCCGGTGATGCCGAATTCCCTCCCGCAGGTAGTTTTGGTTAAAATATAGTTAGTCGAATTTCGTCCCGGGTACTAGCCAAGTTCCCTCTTTATGACTTTATAGTAGCAATTAGCACTCAAGGTCATCCGCCGCCGTTTGCAGGCAATTGATGTATAATTAGGAGGGAATTCGACATATCGAAAATTTTAACCCTAATTAAAAACAGGTATATGGAAAGGAACTAGGCATTATCCTAAAATTTTCCTGCTATACCCTTCGATTAAGGTTAATATTCTGAAGTTACGGTAGGAAAAGACAACACTAACGAAATTTCTTTCTTTCGTATAAACTGAACTGAAAAAGACGTAATGGTGCCCCTGGTCATTGTCCTCTCAACTTACGTCTTGGTTAACATTTTGTTCATCCTCGCGTCGAAATCTAAGAAAATTCGAGAACATTTATAGAAAATATATAACGCGGAAGAAATTCTAATGAAGAACATTGATATTGTTTTATAGGTTCGGGGATTTAAAGACACTTACGTCATATTACCGAGAAATGATAAAAATTCTGAGTACGATAAAAGAGATGGAAATAATGTGCGCCGTAGCTTAGAAGAGGATAAAAGGGTATATTGTAATATGTGCAGGTGTATCAAACAAAATTATTTAAAAATAAAATAATTCGTAAGGTGATTTGGATCGAAAAACAAAAGGTGAAACCTCGACAAAAAAGGGATTATCGTTATTTGGACGATTTTCTTGAAAGTTTAGTCGAGAAAGATGAATTCCAGCGAATAAAGTCGAGAAACTCGGAAAGGGCTTTTAATGACGAATTATGGAGTCAGCAATGGTATTTGGTAATAACCATCTCTTAAGTACATCGTACATTAATTTGTGTTTTTTGAGGTCGTCTATTTTTAAAAGTATTAAAATAAGTGACGACATTTATTATATCTTCTAGCAAGATACCAGAACGCGCTCAGATCTTCCAAAACTCGACTTAAACGTTATTCCGGTGTACAGAATGGGAATAACGGGAAAGGGGATTCGGGTTAATATTTTAGACGATGGTATAGAATATACCCACGACGATTTGAAAATAAATTACGTAAGTTTTAACACCAGCATGTATAAGACGATGGAATTATTATTATTATTGATAATAATTCTATTGTAGGATCCGGAAATAAGTTATGACTGTAACGAGGATGATGACGATCCTCTTCCCCGCTATGACCGTACCAGGGCGAATAGCCATGGTACAAGGTGTGCGGGAGAGATAGCAATGGTAGCTAACAATTTGAAGTGTGGCGTTGGGATTGCATTTAATGCAAAAGTTGGCGGTAGTATTATTAGAAAATTATGCGACCTCGTGTAAGTCTTGAAACATTATAGGGGTTAAAATATTGGACGGTCCGATCAATGATAGGATCGAAGGGACAGCATTAAGTTATGGTTTAAACTTAGTGGATATTTATAGTGCTTCGTGGGGTCCTAGTGACGATGGCGAAACTGTCGATGGTCCCGGACGCCTTGCTTCGGAAGCTTTGGAGAACGGGGTAAAAAAGGTTAGTTTCAATTACTCCATTTTGTCATGGGCTACTGGAGTATGGTAGTGATGCAACGGAAGTATTAAAACGGAAACAAAAGCGGAAACAGAAGTAAATAGTAAATTTTTGCGGAAGCGGAAGTGTAATGATTTTAGGTGACTCTTTATTGCAGTGGTCGTACGCGCTTTTCGCGAATATTTAGTTACAGATTTTGCATTTAGCACTTGCATCGTTAATATCAACAAAATATACAAAATAAATAAACGCTATAACTCTGTAAGTATTTTGGAAATATAATTATTAGGAAAACTGTTAAGGGGAAGCTGAAAATCCTGATGTTTTTAGATTAATGTAGGAAAACAATAAGAGAATAAAATATGGAACATATCAACATACGAAATACGAGGCCCTAAACTATAATAAAGTTATTTGCACGGGGACAATGTTATTATTAACAAAGGGGTCGCAGAAAATTGGCGCAGGTATCAGCTGTGCAACGACTAATTTCATTTAAATTGTGTTTCAGTTCAGCCAACTAGTAAAAGTAGTAAATTTTTGCGATTATTTTACTGTTTCGATATATTGATTTTCCAAAAGATGAGAAAGAAAATTTTGTTAAGTTCTGATAAGCTTCCATCATAAAAATGCGAAATCAGATGCAGAAGCGGATGTGAAAATGTAAGCGAAACTTCTGTAATTGCGGAAGCGGGTGCATGAAAATTCAAAACTGATGAACTCAAAATTCCTTGCGGTAATGTACTGCGCTGCTTGAGGTAGAAATGAATACTTTCAACAATAACAGACAAGTTTCCTTCTATGAGACATTGTAGACATTGCTGAGCTTAGGGTGCAGGTACTATTGCCGCTCCATCAACATGTCAGTATTCAGTATATGTCCCATTTCAATTCGGGAAAGCTAATAAAAAGCCACCCCTCACGCATTTCGCGACCCATGAAATTTTGAAATACCTCTAACAAGAAGTTAGAAGTCTCTGACAAACGGGACAACAAGAATATTTGTAGCTAGATTTTGATGAGTAGGTATTGTCAATTAAAGTTATTTCTGGCACTCTAGTTCCATTGCTTTCGAAGTAGGTACTAGGTACATAACTAGATCGAATGCGGTAAATGGCTACGAGACCATGTCGTATACTCGTCCTGATCGTTTTATTTTTTAAGGGTAGGAATGGTAAAGGGGCGATATACGTATGGGCGTCTGGGAATGGGGGTAGTCAACACGATAACTGTAATTGTGATGGTTATTTAACAAGTATCTACACAATTTCTATCGGGAGTGCGTCACAAAAGGGAGAGTTTCCCTGGTACGGAGAGGCGTGTGCTTCCACATTGGCTGTAACGTACTCTTCGGGAGCATACAGAGACCAAATGATTGTGAGTTTAAGTATGAAATCTTAAAAAGAGCAAGAGTGAATAGGGTATTTTATTTGTTGTAAAACTACACCAACGGCGACAAATGTGCTTGGGACGAAACGTCGGTGTGCCTTTACAATAAATAAAAACCTTATTCATCTTTATCAGATTGTTATTAATTAATTTAAACAATTTTGTAATCATTAAAAACAAAATAACAGGCTACAACGGACTTGTTTAACCAATGTACCATCAAACACACGGGAACTTCGGCTTCGGCCCCATTGGCAGCCGGAATAATTGCGTTAGCTCTTGAAGCAAAGTGAGTACCCAGAAACATTTTGTGTAGTTGTTGTACTCGTTTTCTTTTTTGTTGATTTGTGTTCGTGCATCAGTCCAAATTTGACCTGGCGAGACGTTCAACATTTGATTGTTTGGACATCCGAACCCGCCCCCGTTTATGAGAACCCGGGTTGGCAACAGAACGCTGCTGGGTTTTGGTTCAATACCCGATTTGGGTTTGGTCTCATGAACGCTTATGGCATGGTCATAGCCGCTTTGAATTGGACCAGTGTACCAGAAAAATCTGTTTGCACATATAAAATAAGTCTACCGTAAGCATACTGTAATGTATAGGTCCTTTAGAATGACATGGGCCTTCAACTGCGCGAGAAACGGGTATTATCGCATTCATATTGTACATGACTCGGTACCAATGTGCGATGATGTAACAAGTGGCGATCAGTATCAATAAATCGACGGAGTTTTATCATTGCCAAGGTTTATGTCATTCTAAATTAACTCTACCTAAAAATCTCTCGAACGAATTTGTCCTTTTCTTTTTTAAGAAAAAATGGGTCATTTTCATTCGGCAATCCCATAACTGTCCCTTTTGATTCCGATGGGTGCAAGGGTTCAATAAATGAAATCCAATTTTTGGAACATGTAGAAGTGCAAATGAGTATTAGTTATAATATTCGAGGGGCTCTCGAACTGAATTTAACATCGCCGTCTGGTAAGGTTGATAAGGAATTTATCACGGGGGATCTCGTGTCAAATTGAACCCCACATTCAGGTGGAAGGGTGCCTTAAAAAAATACATAGACATGTTCGAAATGACGCCAAAAATGACATATGTCAAGTCAACCCCCTCCTATATTTGTAAGTGAAAAGACATAATTACCCATTTTGCTATATTCCTAATTGTGATAACTATTAAAAAAAGTCGATCGTTATACGTAATATTATTGATGTGATACTATTAATCTTCCTTTAGGATAAATTTTATACTTTTGTANAGTTATAGGCAAAAAATTATTAACGGTAAATACCTAAACAACGATTTTGATTGCGGTTATTCTACTAGGATGTTTTGAAACCTTATTTTTGTGAAACAATTTCTAAAAAATAATAATTTTTGTATCAAACACGTCATCAAAGATTTTTTTGTATGCTGATAAATAAGTTATTTTTTCATTCTACAATATTTTCAGTATGTTTTATAAAAGATTTCGAGTGACTTTTTCTTATCGCTGATGGAGAATGTCCTTTTTTAACGTTTAAACTTTAACCTTAACCAGTTCAAACCAGCAAAAATATATATTCAGCCAATTAGGCTCTTCATCAGAGAAATAAGATTTATTGTGCACGATAATAAAAGTTAAATAATTCAATTGTTATTGTATTCAAGTTTCGGTTGTTGATGCTTATATTATTTAACCAATTAAATACACGTGCCTTGCATTTTTATTTTTCATTCACTTCAAAATAAAGCGATATAATTTTTCAATGTCTTTCATAAGTATATCCGTAATGGTTCAGACAGTAATTACTTTTGTATTTTTTGATATTACAAAGAAATTTTAATAGATACGTAGTAAACTATCCCTAAAATCAGATAAATGTGAAGGGTCAATTTGACATAGAATGCCCGAATTAATACAAAATACAGGGCCTCTTGACTGCGAATGTTTTTAGGAACAAATGTCCAACTTCTTACTCCTAGAGATCACGATCAAAATCCATTTGGTTTTCATGAATGGACTTTTATGTCCGTTATGACTTGGGGTGAGAATCCAAATGGACTTTGGAAAATTGTTTTGTCAGATAAGGTACAAAATAGTAAAAATGTGGTAACTCAGATTTATTTTACAATCTATGCATGAATATCGTTTTTAATAAATTGTACAATAAATCTGCGTTAAAAGATAATCGGTTTGATAAATGGTTCGATTTTAGATTGGCCCGTATGGTAATTCGGGGGAGGTAACGGATGTTACAGTTCGGTTGCATGGGACCAAACATCGACCAAATTATATGTCAGCTGGATCCAGAAATTATAATAGGGAATATAACCGCATTAAAAATTATGTTAATCAACTTAATTTTAATTCGATTATTCCAAAAGCAAATCGCAACATTATACAAAAGTACAAATATTTATTGTAATTAACTTATTGTACCAATCGAAAACGTAAATAGTAGGATAATAATAAAATGGTCTCTATTACTTTGACCCTTTTTATTGTATAAATGGACCAAGATTAAAAAAAATTTGTAGTAATTTATAATAATTTCCTTTTAATGAAATACTTTTTTATTTAATACTCCATAATTATGAAGTTATTTATATTCAGCAATCATCCAATTTATGCTTGCTAATAATGAATGTATTAGTTTCTGAACAAACATTGTTTGACTTACAGTTCTTTCCGTATCTATCTCTACATATACAAACGACATCCTTTAAATGAACTTGGTCATTTGTTGGTTACCATATTAATTATTAATCATTCGTATTATTGCCGACAAGGATGACAGGCACCAAGTTCATTTGTTTCAAGGACGCAGTTGTCCTTTACTTGTTCTTCGTACTGAATTTAGAATTTTTGGTGTTTTATCGGAAACGAAGTTTCAAAGTGAGAAATACATTATGTGCATATATCAAATTTAAGTGATGTAGTGTTGTAATAAATAATTGTATAAACTGAGTGGAAGGAATACAATTTTCTTCAAGAAATTTCCACCAACATGGAAGGTAGGCGCTGCTTAATGCTTTGTGTGTGTAAGATTGTTAGTCAACTGTCAGTAAACAAAAAAATGGCTATGAATTATTTTCAATGAATGTAATAAACATGGCCTACATTTAATACGTTTTTAATTATATGATAGGTATATAAATGAGCAACCTTTGAGTAAATCTGAGTACAAATACAATATACCCCATGGAAACGTTGCAACCTCTTTTCATTTGGTTAATAATATCAAACATGATATATACGAAGTTTCAAGTAAATTCAATCACAAATTAAGTATGCCCCAAACAAAAATTGCAACACCTTTTTACCCCCATACCCCTTTGGAGGTTGAATTTTTTAAAATGTCGAAATAGGTCTTTCAGAAATTAAATGAGAGACCATTAAGTTTCAAGTAAATCTGACGACAAATAATATATGTTCCATTTAAACATTGCAACTCCTCTTCACCACTCCAGCCACCCTCCCCCCCCCCCAACCGAGATTGAATTTTTGTTATACCATTTTTAACAAATGAACCCCTAGACTGATAAATTTTTCGTTTTGCTGTCAGTTGCGTTTCGTTANATAGAGCAGGGTCGAGTCACCATTAATTTAGAAATTCGAAAAAGATTGTTAAAGGTACCTATATGTCTCGAACACGATGCTGTACCTATGGGTGCGAAACATGGGCAGTGGAAGCGGCGGAAAAGAGAAGGTTAGGAGGAGGTATTAGAAAGAGTAGGAGAATAGAGGACTCTATGGAAGTCAATAAAAAATAGGCGAGATAGGTTAGTAGGACACCTTCTTAGGCATGAAGGTCTAGTCAGAGACATATTAGAGGCAGAAACAGGAGTTAGGAGGGGTAGAGGCAGACCTAGATTATAGAGTGCTAAATTCCTCAATATTACATTATTTTTTTTTAGGGAAGTTGTTCTCGTCCGACAATTAATATGTTTTTGTATCCTAGTCATTTACAGTAGGTTCACACCTATGAGATAATTTTTCACTCTAAGGGTTAATTATAGGGTGCTGATTCATTTAAAGAAGGATTATGCTTATGAGATAATGGCCTTAATATTGCCTAAAATAGCGAATTATTATTTTCAACAGCAAGTTATTCCTGTCCCACAATAATTTCTTGTACCTACCTAATCCCTTTGAGTCATTTGTAGAAGGATTTTATGTATGTGATAATTTGTCAACGGATCTAACGGTTATTTATGGGGTGCTTAACCCCTTAAAATTGTTTCATATTGAATTAGAATTTTGTAATGGAAGTTTTTCTTGTCCTACAATACTTTCTTGTGTCTAAGCTCTGTTAGGCATTTATAGAAGGAATATACCGATGAAATAATTTGTCAGCGGGTTTTAGGGTTGTTTGAGGGGTGTTAAACCCCCTAACAATGCCTCATACTCAATCAGTATTTTTAGTGGAAGTATTTCTTGTTCCACAATAATGTTTTGTAAGTAAGCTCTGTTAGGCATTTACAGAAGGATTATACTGATGAGATAATTTTTCAGCGGGTCTAACGTATATTTATAGGGTGCTAAACCCCTTAATATTTCTTCATATTGAATTAGAGTTTTGTGGTGGAAGCTTCTCTTGTCCTACAATAATACATTATGTCTAAACTCTATTAGGCATTTATAGAACAATTATACCGATGAGATAATTTGTCAGCGAGGCTAAAAGTCATTTGTGGGGTGTTAAACCCCCTAATAATGCTTCCTATTGAATCAGTAGTTTCCAGTGGAATTGTTTCTTATCACACAATAATTTTTTGTATTTGCGCTCTGTTAGGTATTTATAGAAGGATTATATAAATGAAATAATTTGTCAGCGGGTCCAACGGTTGTTTGTGGGGTGGTGAACCCCTTAATATTGTTTCGTATTGAAGTGGAATTTTGTAGTGAATGTTATTTTTGTCATGCAATAATGTTTTTTATCTAAACTCTGTTAGGCATTTATATACATAAAAGGGATATACCTATGAGAATTTTTCAGCGGGTCTAACGGTTGTTTACGGGGTGCTAAACCCCTTAATTTGGTAAATGTTAAATTAGTATTCTGCAGTGGAAGTTATTCTTATCCCACAATAATTTTTTTTTAAGCTCTGTTAGGCGTTTATATAGAAGGTACCATTATGTCTATGAGATAGTTTGTCAGTAAGGCTGAAGGGTTATTTAGCGATTGCGGAACCCCTTTCTATTATATTAC